CAGAGATAAACCTACATCTTCCTCATCAGTTGTGCCTGCTTCAAAGTAATCTGGTTTACCATCTCCCAATATAATAGGGTCTGTTTTGTCTTTTTCACCATATACAACAAGGTGTACTGCTGAGTTATTGCAAGGTCTGGAATCTTCAGCTGTTGTAATCCATAATGTCCACTCACCATCTTCAAAAAAAGCAATAATTAGTCATTCATTGGGTTTGTTTCAAATTATCCTTTGACCCAATGAATAAACATTTTAATTTTATTTTTTATTGTGTTTAGTACTACAATGTGCCTGATTATAAGAATGGTAAATGAAGCATGAACATCTGTGGAGAATGTCATCATACAGATACAGTCATCATACAGTGGTTTTTACTTTCACAGTCATCAAGATTCAACAATTATTTATCACATGTCCAAGGTCATTCCCAAGGTGTATATATTGGAAGTCAAATTATATAAAATATAGATCCTCAGATAAAAGAACACTGTACAACAACCAGTGTGAGAATACGTGAACACCTACCAGGCAAACCACAAGAGAGCTTAAAACTACCAGATTACTAAAACACATACCTGACTAGCCACAGGTGAGTTTACAACTACCAGAATACTTGAACACACCAGGTAAGCCACAAGTGAGCTTACAAATATTAGATTACTTAAACACATACCAGGTAATATGGTAATATGGATTCCATGTTAGATAGGTACTCACCTGCAGATCCAGGTTTCAATTCCCTTTCTACTTTCCTGTCATCTTTACTGACATCTAACCATCTGCAAAATAATAATAATCTTCAAAGTCTTCACCAACTTTATGAGAATTGATTTCAGATATGGATTTAAGGGCATTCATGCCAAGTGTTTACAACAGTGTCTTAAAATGATTGCTTATTTTTAGATAGATGAATCAATGCTTGAGATTGCTTACCTATTACATGGGAAATAATCACCACGTTCAGAGTCAGATGACTCCCTCACAATCACTTTATCTATGTACCATCCTTGCCCTGATTTCTTGCCATTGTGTCCAACCACCACCTTCTCTAAATCACCAAGATGAACTGCTTCAATTTCAAAAATATCTTTCTGTCCTTTCTGAAACTTTATCTCATTGTTGAGTGATTTGTAGAGGACTCTGTTTCCAGTGTCTCCCCGCTCACCATAGATGCAGATGTAACATGTGGCTTCTGTGTCAGCGTTTTCTACTGTACCAGTGTAAACTTGTACTTGGTACTTCATCACTTGCAATCAAAGAGTAATAAATAAAGCTGAGTGAGTTGTAATGAAGATCTCAATGAAACAAGCATTTTATGAGACAAGCAGTCTGTCTTTACTTTACAGTGTCTGACTGATGTATACAGAATGCAAAGTAAAACTAGCAGCCTGTCGGCTGAGATAGCTCCGCTGTTATCAATGCACATTTCAATTAAAGAACTGAAGATATCATCAGAAAATGAACAATCTGTATTAAAGCAATCGAACTTGCTGTTTTCACCAAAAATTCGAAAATATAACTTTTTATCAAAAATATTCATTAAAATTAGATAATTGAAGAACAAAATCATCACAAAATGAACAAATCTGGGAGAGGTCTACCTGTAGTACCTATGTAGTATATACAACTGTACATGTATGATATCAAAGCAATTAGACTTGCATTTTTTAACAAGAAGTCGAAAATATCACTTTTTACCAAAAATTACAAAAAATATTCACCAAAATTAGAGAACTGAAGATATCATGAAATGAACAAATCTGAGAGAGGTCCACATGTTGTACCTATATATGTGATATCAAAGCAATTGGACTTGGACTTGACGCAAGAAGTCGAAAATATAATTTTAAATTTAAAGTTGATGACGGCGACGCCAACGGCAACAATGGACGACGGCGACGCCAACGGCAACGATGGATGCCGACGAACAATCAGCAATACTATAAGCTCCACTCGTCGACAGTGGAGCTAATAAAGAGAAAAACTAAAAGTCAGTGGCAAGTGTCAATAAAAAGCCAAGGAACCACAGCTTTCTGTTGCCCATTGCCGGTCACAAACCAGCCCAATAAATCCAAGTGCACACTTTGTATGCTATATTTCTAGACATAAAACAAA